TACAAATAACTAATGTTAGCTTAAATACATCAATATGCACATAATATACATGTATGTAACACAAGTATAAAGAGCATACCATATAATCCTTAAGTAAAAGCTGGATGCGAATAAACGCCGGGTTAGCAATAGAATGGAAGCATAAATATGTAAATCTAGCCCAGGGACGTATCCAGTTGGGGGGTGCTGAGGTGCTTGAGCACCCGCCTTATGTCTGGGCTCAGAAAAAATTATTGAAGTTCTGGACTCTTGCATCACTACCAAGCCTCTTATTAAAGTTATCTAGTACACTGATTATGATTTTCAGCAGTTTCCAGTCCTTGAAAGAGTAGTCAAAAGTACCAGTATGCGAGCCAGTATGCTTGAAATCATAGAAATGATCTTGACCCCACCCGTAATTTACAAAAAATGAAAAAAAACGCCGTTTTAACTGCTAGAAAGTAGGCGTGGCCAAAATTGCGGCGCGCTTGGCGCGCCTCCTACTTTCCTTCTCCATTGCATTCTGTCATACATAGTGGACCCCAGCACCCCCCTTTCCAAATTTCTAGATACGCCCCTGTAGCCTTGTAGTAACTAAAATACTTCGTAAAATACTTCCATTCCTGAAGTCAAGTGCATGAGGTCCCCAGTTCAAATTCTGCTTTGGGCCCAAGTTTTCTTTATTTAAAAAAATTTTTATTGAGGTTCAAATGCCATTTTAGGAAATATATGCCTGGGCTTTTATTGAAGGATATGGTAGTTAGTTATAAATGTAAATGCAATTTGATTTGATTTTATTTCTTCATTTTTAAATTTAGAGTACAATTTTATTTGGCAAAGCCATTTGTGAAAAAACAGTATATTGACGTAACTAGGATGTGTGGCCAGGAGATGGAGTCTAAAGTGATGGACAAAATATTCTTCAATTAACAATAATTTTTATTATTAATAATAGCACTCATGGAACTTTCACACTGTCTTTATGGCCTCTTTCTTTAGCCTGTTTAACTGATATAAATTAATTATTTAATAATTTGTTATTATTGTAGTTCTTGATTCAAAAATTATTAATTCTTAATAATTAATATGAATGGTGATTTTGAAACATTGAATTCGTAATTGCTAGTGCAACTCTACATAATTATAGATCATTATGTGTCTAATAGCCTTTGTAAGTTAAATTTGTGGATTAAAAATATAAAATGTCAGTATTGCTATATTGGGATATTTTCCCAATATTGTATTCTGACTTCATTCATTCTTAATACTGCGACAGCTGAACACCAGATCAAAGATAAAATTTAAATACATGCTGTGATATTTAAACAATTTGACATGTAAATACAAGGAATAATAATAAAAAAAATGAAAAGTACCAGCCTATTGAATGAATAACTGAGAAAACAAATAATGCAATGCAATAAGTTTATGATTGACCAATAGCAGTTGCTGTCGGTTCATCCACAACAGCCACGCCTGCATAGCTCCTTCCTAAAGGCAGGATATCTTGGGCCACTTTCCAGGTCTTAAATATAAAATCATATATCTCAATATTTGGTAGATTAGTGATACCATCATCTCCCCCAATTACATACAAGAGGTCATAAACTACAGCAGCTGCTCCGTTTGGTCTAGAAGTTAACATATCAGGAATACAAGACCACTTATTGGACTGAGCATCGTAACACTCAACACTTTTCCATACATTAGGGCCGTCATGGCCTCCTATGACATACAATATATTATCAATGATGGCCACAGCCACTCCACTTCGTCTCTGGGTCATCGGCTCTATGGTTGACCATTTGTTAGTAATGCGATCATACACTTCAACCGAGTTAAGGCACTGGCCAGTAATACCATCATAGCCTCCAACAGCATCAAGGAGATTATTTATAACAGTCACGCCCAAACTAGAGCGCCTTGTGTTCATATTAGCAACTGCTATCCACTGCTTGGTTTCTAATAAATATAGAGATAGTGTAAATAACGAAATTTATGAGGTAAAAATTTTTGTGCTAAACCATATTACCGAATGAACAAAGATTTAAACATGGTTGGTATACCCATCACTGACAATAATATTAACAGGGTCTTACCAGGGTTGTATTTCTCTACAGTGTCTAGTCAATTGTTACCATCAAAGCCTCCGATGGCGTACATCTCTTCTTTAAGGACAGCCACTCCCAGTGTGCTCCATCTTGAGAGCATTGGCTTGACATAAGACCATCTCTCAGTATTTAAATCAAGTCTCTCAACAGAGCTATTAAACAATGACACTAATTTAAAAAGCAAAAACCTTTTCCTTTTTATTAACGAACTCGAAATTTCCCATTAAAACCTCCAACAGCATACACAGAATTATTAAGAACGATAATACCACACTTGCATCTCCTTGACAATAGCTTTGGGCCATTATGGCAGCTGTGAATGATGACATCAAATACTTCAACATTCCTTATAGCCTTAGGGGCCTGACCACCAACTGTTACTATCAACTGTGGCATACCAATTCTCTTTCTAGGCAGACAGTTAGACCAAGTGAGTGAGGTACATTCATGAGGAGGAAGGAGATGGTACTTTAGGGCATCAAAAAGAAAGTCTTTACAAGCAGGGTTGGATTGTTCCTCACTGACTTGATGAATGAGATACTCGCATTGTAAAAATAAGAACCTCACGTGTTTGAGGAGTTCGGGTAGATAAGTTATTGGTGTTGTACTTGGTCCATGATATGATGGCCTCAAACACGTCCTCTTCCAGTAATATCCCAAGTTCTGTGCTCGATACCAGCTCTATGACATCAGTATGAGAGAGGCAATAGAACTCCTCTGATTCCATCACTTTGGAGAAATGTTTCAGTGCAAAAGCCTGAGCAATAGAGAGAAGATCGTGGCAAAAGTAAATGTCAGCAAATGCTTTGATCCCGAGACAGTTGGTTGGGTGGAGTTGGTCCTTTAGAAAATCACAAGCGTCTCGAACCTCACTGAGTTGTAAGAGGTTAGCAGGTGGCAAGAGACTTTGTACATTGTCTTCGCTGACCTCAATAGACCCAGTGTACATATACTGAAATAAAAGGCTCATGGCAGTTGGCTCAACTTCTTTCAATGTAATGACTTCTTGTTTACTTTCTGATAGCTTAGCTACAAAGGAAAAATTGTAAGATTATAGAACCCTTAGTGTTCTAAGCAATGGATATAATTACATAATTTTTTGATACAAGTATGGAGGCCAGACTACATCAAAAATACCATGTTGCAGCATACCGTATGGGTAATAAATTTCGAGCCCATTAAATTTTTTGTTTTAGTAAAAAGCTCTTAATTTTTTAATTTTTAGGGGGCTAAATTTCACATTTTTGCATGTACACTTACATTAAGTCATAGATTTTCATTAGCTGCGCATGCACAGTGAGCATTTTCATGGTATTAATTTTGTGGTTAAAAAGTCACCCACACAAACTGCAAAATTAAATACTCAACAAATTTTGTACCTATATGGTAGTTTTCTTACTATGCTTTGTTTCGGCACCTTGGGCTTTGATTTGCCTTTGATGTGGAGAGATTCTTGCTGTCAGTAATTTATATTGTGGGTGGATACTGTAAATTTTTCACTGAAAATAGTCTTAGCGCCTAGGGGTCTCTATAATATAATGATAATTCTACAATGCCTATTTGCAATTGACTAATCAGATTGACACATTGGGGGTAAGTAAAATACATGTACCTTGTGGACGTCTGGAAACAGCTTATAGACCTAATTTCCCGCAATGATTTATTAATAAAAATTTACTAGAATTTATTCTAAATAAAGAGCGAATGAGTCATCAAAGCATCACAATGACAAAACCACGCCTGCTTGTGTGACAACAAAAATTTGAGGCTCAACAGAAACTAGATATGCTGAGATTTAAACTGAAAAGCTCAAATATCTGAAGATTAAGGATAAATCTTTAGGTCTAAATTCCATTGTACAGGATTTTACAGCCTTTGTCCACTTTTCAGGACCAGCCTTCATTTGAAAAGAGAGCTAAAGAGTCTTAACTGCTGGTCTTTTCTCAACAGAATTATGGTATCCAACAATACAACAAGTATAAACCATTAACAGAAGGAAAAAACAAAGCACAGCTGAAAAACCAGCAAATTTAGGTGCATAGGCAGCTGCAGGATTACAGAAGTAGTTGGGCAAAAAACGGCACGTGAAGTGCGCCGCAATTTTGGCCACACCTCCTTTACAGCGTGTATTTTGGGCGTGTTCTCTACAGTGTACGCCCAAAAGACGTGTCTCAAAATAGAGCTGATTAGTATATCTAGCTATAAATTTACCTAGCCTTACACTACATCAAGCACTAAGATCTTTTGTATTATGAGTGGCTTTGAAAGAAGCCAGTTGAATAAAAGAGAAACTGAGACAGAGAGAATGAGAAAAAGTAGTCTTGTCAAAAAAGTGAAGGGGTGGGGCGACGAGACTAGAGAAAGAGAGATTACTGGAAAATAACTTTAGAACTAGGATGAGCCTGAGCAAACTTGATGACTGCATCCTCAAGGTTATCCCACAGTATATTGGAAATATCCCTCTCAATGTGAAGAAGAGACACATTATTCAGCCTGTCTTGAGACATAGTTGACCTGAGATAAAACATTATTCTCCGTAAAGACGAAAAGGATCTCCCTGCTGATGCAGTAGTGACCCCAATGGTCATTGCTACTTGGAGGGCCAAAAAATGTGGAAAGCACTCCTTAGCTTCATATAAACATGGTGTATGGTAGAAAGAGGAGATGCTTCCTTTAAAAAAGTTGTAGCTGTAATTACCTCTGATGTAACATCATCAACATCAATTTCATAGTGACGAAGGAAAGGTAACAAGGAAGAGACTTGAAGAAAAGAGGTTGATGAAGGAACTAGAGACTGAAGTGACTTTAGTAGGGACAAATTTGTCTTACTGAACCTGTTGTTAAGCTCTCCCAGTAAATTATCAATGGTGGCATAATATACTAAGGTATGATACTCCGTAATATTATCCCTCACACCAATAGTTGGTGCAACAACTGAGTGAGGGGTAGTTGCCTTTGCCATCTTGATCTGATTTGGAGTGGAGTGATGGTAACGTCCAGATTCTCAGCCAGTTCAACAGCAGAATCCCATATTTGCTGCCGCTCAGTTTCACTCTTTAGAGTTTCCAAACTAGCTTTAGTAGACAAAGCTGCTGCAGCATAGTTAATGGTCCTCGACTGAAGTAAGTTACAGAGATTCCCTGTGGAGAAAATCTTTTCAAAGAGGGTAAGAGGGAGTAGGAAAGAGAAGGATTTGACTTGGTAAAAGAGTCCCCTTGCTTCAATAGCTCGAGTGCCACTATCATCAGACATTTGTTCCAGAGCTGCAATAACGGCAGTAATGGTAGTCTTAACTGCCTTGATTGAAGCATGTCTGCTTGACCATCTAGTGTCACTCAACTTAACAAGTTGTATCTCTCTCATTTTTAACTCTTTCTGTTTTCTGAGAAGAATACTATGTGGTACAGAGGAGGACATAAAAACATACAGAGATTCAAGGAGAGCAAAGAAATCAGAGGCAAAAGACAGAGAACGACAGCAGTCAACTAATGCAAGGTTGAGCTGATGCGCATGACAGTGAATAAACACTCAACTTAACAAGTTGTATCTCTCTCATTTTTAACTCTTTCTGTTTTCAGAGAAGAATACTATGTGGTACAGAGGAGGACATAAAAACACACAGAGATTCAAGGAGAGCAAGAAAATCAGAGGCAAAAGACAGAGAATGACAGCAGTCAACTAATGCAAGGTTGAGCTGATGCGCATGACAGTGAATATATACTGCCTTAGGATTGTCTTCAAGGATTCTAGTACGAACACCAGTTAATGAGCCACTTATGACGGATGCTCCGTTGTAACATTGACTGACACAATCTGCAATGTTTAGCCCATTTTTGGTGAGTACATCATAGATGTATGAAGTGAGAGCAGCAGCATTAAGTTCTTCACAGTTGGAGTAAGAGATAAATCTCTCATGAATGACTCCCTTTAGGACATAGCGAAGAATGAGAGTTAGTTGCTCCTTTTTACTAATGTCCTTAGTCTCATCTATCATTATAGTAAAATAACGTGCTTCCTTCACTTCATTGATGATGTAATCCAATACACTCTTAGCAAGGATTGAGAGCATACTGTTCTGGTAGTCATGGCTATGAAGGGTAGCATTTTTAGGTCCAGATGTCATTCTGCTTTGAAGTAATTCAATGTGGCGAGAATGAAGCTTGAGAAAACTAAGGAAATTGCCAACATTGATAAAAGAATCATCGTGCCTACTTTGGCATATAGCTCCCACTCCCTTTTCTCCTGTAGGGCTCTGTGCATCAAGACTTATCCCATTCTCTTCCAGTATAATCACTATCTGATAGGCTGTGGGAAAGGAAAAAGATCTACCTGTGAGTAATAAAAAGTAAGGGTGTTTAAATTGAAATTGACAGGATCAAAAGACTACAAAAATTAAAAATTGTATCAGTCAAAAGAGATCATTCAGAGGTTATGCTTGTACTTTAAACATACCCAATTGGTAGTGAAGCTCCCTCCCTTGTACTTATGTCACCTTCTTCCTCCTCATCCTCATCTCCTGTGCTCAAAGGAACATCTACAATGTACATGTACACAGAGTTAGAGACAAAGCATGTACATGAAATAATGATAAATGTAACAAAAGGAAATCTAACATGTACGACAGGGCAGGGGCGTTCCAGCAGGGGCTGAGGTGGGCTTGAGCACACCCCTCATGGCTGGGCTTAGAAAAAAATTACTGCAATCCTGGACTCTGGCATCACTACCAAGCCTCTTAACAAAGTTATCTAACCTCCTGATCATGATTTCAGCAGTTTCCAGTGCTTTAAGGAGTGATCAGAAGTCGTCAGATGTACCAGTATGCTTGAAATTATTTTGACCCCACCCATAATTCAGGAAAATGCCATTTTACCGCTACAAAAAAGGGGTGTGGCCAAAATTGTGGCACACTTTGCATGCCCTCAGCACCCCCCTTTCAAAATTTCTAGATACCCCTGCAGGGTTATGTTACTTACTTACATGAACATGTACAATTTATGTTGTGTAGAAAGTTTGATCAGATTAACACCAAAATTAATTTTGATTTTGTGCAAACTCTTGTTCTGATCTGAAGTTCCTGTACTTACAGCAGTGTTGTATTAGTTAACTATAACTAAATCTTTTTTTAGTATAGCAAAATTGTAAATTAGTTAACTAAACTATAATTCTTACATTTGATGTCAAAATAACTAAAATCGAAACTAAAATGATTTTTAAAAACTAACTAAAATAGAATTAACAGTTTTGTACTAGTACTAGCCACACCTACTTTTTAATTGAAATCTACTTTCATTTGACCAAAATTGACCCTTTGAGAGGGTACTTTTCTTAGTGGGGCATGCTAGATCTTTATGATAATATTTGAAATTGCTATGAAACAACGACTTTTTTGCCTGGTATTGTTTGGTTTGTAATAACTAAAACTATAACTATAACTAAAAGAAAATGGTATCACATAATCATAACTAAAATAAATAGGCTGAGGCTTCACTATAACTAGAACTAGAACTAAATATACCTTGTTCTAAAGTACCATAACTAAACTAAAATGTAAATCATGAACTAAAACAACACTGACTTACAGATCAATTATTGTAAGTAATATAACCCTGTCATACATGTCAGATTTCTTTTCATTACATTTATCATCATTTCATGTACATGTACATACTTTGTCTCTATATCTTCCTTTTAATATTTTTCCTGATACATGTATACACCATAATTGCTCAATTAAACGTCCAGGCGTTTATTTCTTAACAGGAAAAAAATTGAAGTAAAAAAGAAACAAAAAGCCTATAGCTAGGGGATTCGAACCCATGACCTTCTAACTTTCCTAACTGTACTCGCTATCTGGTACAATCTAAATCCTAGGGCACATATACTGGGTAAAATACCAATAAAAATAATAAAATGGCATGTGTATCTATAGTTAAAAAATATTTGTCATGGGGGTTTATTTTAGCAGGGCAATTATTTGAGCAAATATGGCAAGTGGATTCTGATCAAAAAAATAATTTGGATTTTCAAAAAAACAAAACTTGCCACAATGTAAATGTATTCAATAAAGTACTGCAACACCAGTAAGGAGCTCTCCCAGTTTACGGAAAGTCTTAGAGCAATAAGTCATAAGAAACGTTTGGACAAATGTTGGATCTAAAGAAGAGAGGTATTATGTACACCATTACATTATACATGTACATGTACATGTATTCCCCCTATACAATGTCCTGTACATGCATATAGTACCTGCATATTTATGGAAAGTGGGCCTATTGAGTAGTTTATAAATTCCAGCTTTTATGAGCACTTGATTGTCGTGCTGCTCCTCCTCAAATATGACATTATTATCAGAGTCTGGGTCGGTAAACCAAATGAACATGTATGTGAACATGCAAGTGATATTACATGTATATTACACATAATTAATAAAAAAAACTAGAACATTTACATGCAAATTTTGGGAATGATACGTAACGTGTACAATGTGTTTACATTGAAATGAAAGGATGTGCCAGCTGAGACTTTCTTATTAAGAATATACCATTATTGGTTTCTCTTCCTCTACAAGTGAAGCAGCTTATGTACATGTATACACAACAGAATAACTGTATGTAGATTGGGCTATACCGAATGACAAAACAAAGTGACAGTAAACTGAAAAAAATACAAGCATACATGCAGCAGTCATGCACATGTACTAACAAAATGTCCATGCATTATAAAAAAATCATACACACCATACATGCATGTACATGTACAATGTACATGTACATCCATGAACTGAATATCTTATAAAATAATTATAATACTGTAGGAACATGTACATACAATGTTATTTGAGGAAATAAATAATAAAACAAACTAATTATAAAATAAGATAGTTAATGTGAAAAGAACGATATCCTCTGAGAGACTAATATTCAAGTCATGATTATAAGCTGAGGGCATAAACAAACAGATATCATATTGTGAAGACATATGTATATGTACAGTTACAGCTAGTACACATGTTTGTACTGAAAAGAAATTAATGTGCATAAATTATTGAAAATCTGCAAGTTTCACTGACTCAATGTTTGCATCTATATGTATACCCAAACTACATTTAATTTGGCATTAAGAAAATTCAAATATGCCTTCTTATACAATTATATAATGGTGCTGCCTTAAAATGATTGATTTACTTGTACAGCTTCAGGTTAGGTACCAGGACAGGGACATTGCTCTCCTCATCTCTTAGTTTGCTATCTCAAATCGTCTAAAAGGAGAAAGGGTTGGTAATATGTCACAAGACTCTAATTATGTTGTAATAAGATGAGAGAGTACCTCCGAACAAGTAGTATACATGT